CGTTTGTTCTCGTTGTTGCAGGGCAGTGATCCACGAGGCCCTAGGGGAGATCAGGTCATCCTAGGGCAGCCCATAGCCACCGAGCACCTTGATGGGGTCCCTCACGGGCATGTGGGGTTTCAGGTCAACAAAAGCATCCTCGGCTGTCCTGCGTATCGCGTTGCCAGTCAGGTCTCCTTCGACGCGAGTTGCGGTGTATCACCCCCGGTGTCAAGGATACACGGTGACGTGTTCATGTGCGAATACGTTGAAACCAACAATGCCACAGTTGGAAAGGAACTCCGGGCGGACGTAATCACCCACTCTATTTGTTTCTCGCTAGTGGCTGATTCAAACGAATTACTCCGGAGGTTTTCTTCACACGAAATCAGCATAGTGGGGAGAGAATGCAACGGATTTGCACATGAACTGGCAGTGGAAGCGAAGAAATCTAATGATCAGAGACTGTTGGGTAAGGTCCCTGATAACCTCGCCCATGTGTATGAACGTGATTGTAACAACACCATTGAGTAGCCTACTCTTTGGTTCTAAAAAACATCAACTCGCTCATGAAACATGTGGTCATTTGGGCCCCATCAAAGCATAAATTCTTTGTGTGGCTCATCACTTAATATCGAGTTTAGACTGTGGATCAACTTCACCAGAGGGATTGGCCAGCTATGCCAAATTTGCAAAAGGGAGTTGGAGACAGCGGCGCATATTTTGATGCACATGACGCATTTGGGACGTGGTTAGAAGATGGATGGGGCTGCAACTCATGAACATTGGTGATTGAAACAACTTTAACTCGGTTAAAGATTGGCGACACTTGGTGATCAACATAAAAAACAACAAGAGAAAGGGTTTGGCTTCGTTCGTCATGCATGTATCCTATGAGATTTGGTGTGAGAGAAATGCTTGGTTTTTTAGAAAGTTTCATCGATGCCGGGCTCCATCTGCTCAAAATCAAGACTGAGGTCATGATATGGGGAAGGGAAGGGGGAAAATACTTATTATCTTTGGCGCATTGGGAGTAGTTTCTTGTGTATCCTTGACCGCACGCGGTCATGCTTTGTGTTCTTACACTTGTTTCCTTATTTATAAACTCTTCTTGATTAATGGGACCATGCAAAAGTTTTGCCTTGGTTTCAAAAAGTTAAGTATGGACATAACTGAAAACCTAATTCATGATCATGAGAGAGCCCCCCCCCCCCCATGTCGTCTAGTGGCCTCAACATCGAGAGGTAAGAAATGGTGTTTTAGCAACTCCATGTTATAGCGTCCATCAGCTTGGGCACCCACTTGAGACAACATTGCCCCTGTTGGTGACCAACCGATATAACGGGGAGCGTGGGATTCTGGGGTCACCAAAAATACAAACATGCTTGTCATTGTCAATTTTCTAAATGAGTCCCCTCTTGAGGAGAGAAAGGCCATGTTGAATTGCCACATTGAAGATTCATTCCTTGAGAAAAACATCTTGAAGACAGTCGTTAGGGTAATACTTAGACTTTGGCATGGTCGGTGGCGCAGAGGGAGTCTGGTCAGGTGATAAGAACCATGCCTAACGTGCTGACAGGGTCTCACTACTAGGAAAACCCTTATAGGTAACCACTTAAGTAGCGCAGCTTATTTGGCCCGAGCTACTGCTACATAACAGTAGCCCGGACAAAAACATGCGCTACTGGTAGGGATTAGTAGTAGCACGGGCAAAGCAGAGCCGCACTACTATTAAGTGGTTCCCACTGTGTGTCCCAAGACAGGCCATAGTAGTAGCGCGGGGCCAGGAACCAGTGCTACTACTAAGTTTATAGTTGTAGCACTGGTCTGCCAACCTGTGCTACTACTATGGGCCCCACTTAGTAGTAGCGCGACTCTTGTCCATGCTACTACTAAGCTTCACTTAGTACCGGATTCGGAGAAGCCCAGACGTCCTATCCATTCTTTCTTTCTCTGTCGATTCCCCTCTCCCTCCCTCCCACATCGGCCTGCCGCCACCCTCTCCCCTACTGTCACCGCGCGCCACCCTCTTCCCTATCACCGCCATGCTTCACCCTCTCCCTCTTCCCACTCACCAGGATAACCATGCCGCTGCCTCCCATGCCTTATGGCGCCATGCAGTAGTTGGACCTCGCGCCCCCTTCGCGAGCAGCAAGCAGTCTGCTCTCTAGCCGGCAGCCCAGTCCGACGGACGACACCCCGCCGGACCTCCCTGTCCCGCCGGACCTCCACTCCAGTGACTTCGACCCCTCCTCGATCGTTCCCGTATGGGATCTTGGTGAGGAGCAGCTTCACTATGTTTTTTCAAATGTTGGCATGTAGTAGTGATTTGTTTTTGTACATTGGCATGCAGTATTGTTTTTTTTCAAATGTCGGCAGTAGTAGTATTAATATGTGACCATGTAAGTTCATGTGAGTTCATCGCCAGACATGACCATCGAAGAAAGAACTACCAAAATATGCGATATATGGAAGTTCATAAATAACAAAGAAAAGAAAATAGATATGAAAAGAAAATGGCGCACAATGATGAAGTTTGGAACTCATAAATTTAATATTTTTTATGTCATTAATCGATATATGTAATGTTGATCGATACTTAGGGTTGACTTTGAGTCTGATGGGGCTCTATGTGAGAGATTGATGTTCTTGAAGGAAGATTCCCGATTGTTGTTGTGGGGGTCACTTCTCTTTCTTCTCCTTATGCTAGACTTTTTGGTAACATACTCGGGGAAGAAGGAGAAGAGACCATCACCGATGGTCTAAATATCAGTGAGGGAGTGTCCACCATATATACACCAACATTATTAGTACTAGTGTAGATCGATGTTCTTGAGGGAAGGATCACGACTGTTGTTGCGGGGGTCGCTTTTCCTTCTTCTCCTTGTATTAGACCTTTTGGTAATGCACTCGGGAAGAAGGAGAAGCAACCATCACTGACGACCAAAATATGAGAGTTGTTCAAGGGAGACTCGACATACCGAAAGTCAACCCTAAGCATCGAGTAGAACAACTTGTTACTTGTAAATAAATTTGAGTAGAACAAAAGAAAATATTGTAGTGAACCTACGAGTTGCCTATGTTTTGCTGAATGTTGATTAATTTCTGTTCCAGCAATTTCAGGCACTTGATATGTCCTATTTTTATCAAAGGTGATGACAAAATTTTATGTGGATTTTTAATATTTCAATTAAGAACACAAAAATTGGATGATGACGTTAGGATCCTTGAGTGCTATGACTGTACCGATGAGTGGGGTATGTGCAAAGATCCTCACTTGAGAAACAATAGTTGCTTCTCCCTTATCCTTAAAGAGGACTACAAATACTATACGGTAATCATGCAGATATTTACTTCTTTTTTACTTTAACGTGTAATTTCTGTTTTTTATAACTCGACTAGTGCATCCCCTGGTATGCAAGATGTTATGTCCTAGAGAATCTCTATTTAGATGACATGGATTAGAGGACAACTTACCTCAAGACAAAACATGGTTTCATATTCAAGGCTAGAATCAACAATCATGTAGGTCACACATGTTTTGCTTGTGCGAATTGAAGAGGATTATGCAAAGGCTTATGGATTTGAGGTGGGTATGAGCATAACCTTCGATATTGGCATCGTTCCTCAATATGATCCAGTCACCTTTCCTCAATATGATCAAGACATTTGGGTGGATCTGGACATGATTCCAATTCTTCTCCCATGTGAGTTTCTTAAACAAATTTGTTAAATAATCGATATTGCTTATTTAAAATAGTTTTCAGTCACCCCTAACTTAACTTGTTTATTTAAAATTGTCAGCTTATTTTCTACCTCCAAGAAAAACACGAAATATACTAGACAAGACATATTACACTGCTGGCTTAGAGCTTGCTTGGGAGGAGAAGAATTATCTTATCTCTTTTGTTAATGTTGTTTAGTCACTTAAGGGCACTTATGGAGCTGGAAGAAATACTACACGGTATGTGCCACTAGTCACAAGTTGAAAGATACTAACATTAGTACAAAATGCATGATACATTTTTTTATTATGGTGTCCGTAGTCCATCTTTTTCATACAATCTTCTTAAATAAACTACATTGCTTACTATGTTATTATTATATTCTTGAGCAGAAGCTCCCAAGTGTTGTTGTTCCTGCGCTTATGGATGTGCAAGGTGAGATGACAATTACTTGTCATGAGAAGACCAATTTCAAATACAGATACTCGACTGATCGCGGGCCAGATGGATGCCTTAAAATTCACTACAAGAAATACGTCAACTTGTGACCACCACTATTGGTCACTGAAAGGTCATTGTTTTTCATTTGCGACCTTTTTGTGACCAAAAATAGATGGTCAAAAGCTGGCGGTCGTAAACTGAAATTAACGACCTTCTCTATGAGAAGGTCGTAGACGTTTACGACCAAAATATGCCTACTGTTTTGTTTTGGTCACTGGCTGTCTGCGCAGGCCACGTCGGATCCGATGTGGCAATCTGACGTGGCTAAATTGCGACCAATTGAAAAGGTCACTAGCAAGATTCAGCCCGGTCCGATTGGGTGTTTTACATGGGCCAGGCCCAACAATTTAGCCAATTTATGATTTTTTTTCCTTGATGTTTTTGGGCCTTTTCTATCATGGGCCCTTACCTTTCCACATAGGTCGTTTCCTTTTTTTTTCTATTTTCTATTTGAGTCAAGGCCTGCTTATAGTACTTCTGAATAGCTTTTCAGCCCAGGTTATTTTGGGCCATGGCATATTTGGGCCGTGGCCACTATCAGGTCCAGTAAGAACATTTTCTGGAGAATTTAACGTTCAAGTAAAATGTACACAACACATTACAGGAAAATAACACATACAACAACAGATAAAATTTCATTTCACTCCTACAGCTCACTACATCACAGTACATGACAATCATTCAAAATAGGCCGCCACACTCCATGGAAGCAAAATAAACAGTACTGCTCTTGGAAGCAAAATAAATAGTACTAGGCAGTATTGTTTACTAGGCAGTAGACGAGTACATCTCATTTCAAATAAACAGTACTGCTCTTGGAAGAAAAATAGGCCACCACACGCCATGGTGCGCCATCTTACTCGATCTGGCCCCAAGTAACCAGCAGCGCTGCTTGCTCCCTTGGCCCAGCTCCTTGCTGCCGAGGATGGATGAGACTCGGATGCAGAGCTCCCTACACATGACATATTGTGTCAATGCTTGCAGCAATAGAAGGAACTCACATACCATAGAACTTGCACAGTAGTGTATCAACACCCCAAAGATTTGACTGAATTGAGCTGTTATATAACCAAGTTAGAGCTGGCAGAAGTTACAGGTAAATAAACATCCATAGAGCTAACATGCTGTATTTCTGTAGAAAGAAGCATCAACTCACTATTCTACACAAAAATCTAGCCCATACATGCACAAACACCAGAATGGTACATAGAATGAAGCACAAGGCTAGTACTTGCTACCCTGACATTTCAGGCATTCTAGTGTTTAGGAGATTTGACTTCCAGCATAAAATTAAGTCTATCAACAACCCTAGCTAATAATAGCAAATTAAACTGTATACTACCAGGCAAGACATAAACTGCTAGTCCTGATATGAAGTGCAAGCATCTTCAGTAGTTGAATCTAACACATAGTCATATATCAACCAATAGTAAGGGGGAAAAAGAACAGGGAACGACGAGGTTATAAATGATCTTCTTGAGCCTCTCAAGGTCATCCCTGAGCTTCATGTCGACGGCGTTGGAGATGACCCGGGAGAACCTCATGTCCTTGTAGTCCTTCTTCCTATTCAGGAACCAGTCTGACATACACTAATTACATATTAATACAAAGGGCCAACAACAGCCATGCTAAAATCCCTATGAATGTTCATAGGAAAGCTTTATAAGCATATGAAAGTTCCAATTTGATCAAAATTTCTACTAGACTACCAGTGTTACAATTTATTTAACACGATGACCGCTGTCACGACATGATGTTTATATAATATCTTAAGTGATCTTAAATAGCTAGAAACAAAGTCTACTGCAACATCTCAGTCAATTAAATCAGATACGGTTGTGGGACTATGATTAACCAAAACAATGCAAATCAATCTATTATAAGACAAAATAATGCTCATTTAAGAAAATATCAGCACCAAGCACTCATTCAACTACACCAAATTAACAGTACCATAATCTGTATGGTTAATGTTCAAACACACATGTGAAATCATATTGTCAAATGCATGCACATATACCACTAATATCTTTACAGCAGCATTTGCCCACCATTTAACAAATAATCAAGCTACACAATATTACTATGTTATAAATCAGACATGGGTTAGACAGAGTAATGTTTTGTGTCAGGATCAGATTGCATGGCACGACTACAGTATAGGAGATCCAGGCTTGGATAAAGCAGTACTACTTCAGAAGTAGAACAAGACAACATCACTAAGAAGATAATCATAACCAAGTTGTTGTTGGACGACTGACAAACAACATCTTACAGAGGCAATTCTGATTTCTGGTTGAGCATGCACATTAACCATTAGCATGTGATCATATGTAGCATAGTTCGAACAGGGTATAGCCTGGGAATTTTTTGTTATTTTGTACAGCTGGTGTTGCATTGATGATGTCGGAATCGCCTGAAAATTCAACAAGGAACAGAGCATGATCAGAAACCTAGTTATTGTATATCAAAGTATGAACCAGGTAACACAATGAGAAATGTGGTGCTAGATACCAGGATCCATGATACTCAGGCAACAGACTTGGAAGTATTTACCTCCTCGGGCACCCTGAACCTCGAGCCCATGGAGGGGGAGTCCCGCGACCGGTGCCCGCTCCCGGTGTCCAGTGAGGACGAAGATCCTGACATTGTGCTCACCACGTCCACATCCTTGTATTCTTTGCACATGCTGCTCCCCCTTACATAAAAACAATGCCACAGTTTCAGACTATGAAATCTCAAGAAAGAGAATCAACTTTCAAGCACTCCCTCAATTTTAGTTGAGCCTAAAATTTTAGCTGAGCTTAACCAGCCTCTCATGCAACTAATTCAACCATGAAAAGTGCCATTTCCCCTCGAGAATACTTGACTCTGGTGAATGCAAGCTCTTGCATTAAATTATCCAAATATTATTTGTTTGTTCGTGTACTAATCAAGACACCAATCCCTAGCACAACAATCAAAGATGAAGAATGTGTACTGAACAGATAGTAAAAAAAATCATGGATGCGGGTGATAGGAACAATGCAGTGGACCCAAAATTGAGGGATAAAATGCTCCAAATCGAGCAATGCAGGCGTCCATGGGCAGGAACGTGGGAGGGGAAATGCTCACTGCATGTGTCGTTGTCGGATCTGATGGAGGCCATGGGCACGGCGCCGTACTCCTCCTCCTCCAGCTCCCCGACGTCATCATCCCCGGCGCCGGCTTCCTTCGCCGCCTCTCCACGCCCAACAGCATCACGCGCAACTGCTTTGGCGAGAAGCCCCCGCCCTGGCGAAACAACACCACCATCGCCTTCTTGCAACTCAAGGCTCGCCTCCTCGCCCGCCGGATATGCAGCCTTCCTCCTCCCCGATTCGAGGTCCACCAGCACTTACCTGCAGCAGCAAGCGAGCGAGCCAACTGCTGGAGTTGGCACGGGCGCGGGGTAGCAGGTCACGGGTGCGGCCCTGCGGAGCGAGACTCTCCTGGCCGCGGCGGTGCGGCCCCTTGGCGTCGCGGAGGCGGTTGAGAAGGAGGGGAACATCGCCGAGGAGGCAGTGGTGAGGGCGGGCGAGGCGGAGGCCTTGAGCGCGAACGCCATGGGTGCGAGGGAGGGGAGGAAGGAAGGGTCGACGGTGGCGGCAGCGGTGTGCACACGGGGGTGGATTGAATTGGGCCAGTGAAAGGATCGAGAAGAGGTGTCTAGAGGGGGGGGGGGTGATTAGACACTAAGCAAGAAAAGTTGCAGTTTTTAATTTCTTTAAGTTGAAGTGGAGTTTTGGCACAAGTTTAACAATCACAATACATATCAAGCAAGCATGCAAAGACTATATGAGCAGCGGAATGTAAAGCATGCAACTTTTCAAGAATGTAAGGGGGTGAGATTGGAGTGTGCAAACGCAATTTGGAGACACGAAGATTTTTGAGCTATGGTTCCGATAGGTGGTTCTATCGTACATCCACATCGATGGAGACTTCAAGCCACGAAGGGTAACGGCTGTACGAGTCCATGGAGGGCTCCACCCACGAAGGGTCCACGAAGAAGCAACATTGTCTATCCCACCATGGCCGTCACCCACGAAGGACTTGCCTCACTAGGGGTAGATCTTCACGAAGTAGGTGATCTCCTTGCCCGTACAAACTCCTTGGTTCAACTCCACAATCTTGTCGGAGGCTCCCAAGTGACACCTAGCCAATCTAGGAGACACCACTCTCCAAGAAGTAACAAATGGTGTGTTGATGATGAACTCCTTGCTCTTGTGCTTCAAATGATAGTCTCCCCAACACTCAACTCTCTCACAGGATATGGATTGGGTGGAAAGAAGATTTGAGCGGAAAGCAACTTGGGGAAGGCTAGAGATAAAGATTCATATGGTAGGATTGGAATATCTTGACCTCAACACAAGTGTAGGTGGTTCTCTATTAGAAAATGTAAGTTGGAAGTGTAGGCATGTTCTGATGGCTCTCTCCACGAATGAAGAGGGGGTGGAGGGGTATATATAGCCTCCACACAAAATCCAACCATTACACACAAATTACCAATCGCGGTGGGACCGAATTGTGAAACTCGGTCAGACCGATTTAGCAAATAATGTGACCGTTAGGATTTTCGATGGGAACGACATGTCAACTCGGTGGGGCCGATATGGTTACGGTTAGGGCATAACGTAATCTCGGTGAGACCGATTACACAAACTCGGTGAGACCAATTTTGGTAATAAGCTAACCAGAGAGTTGGTTAGGCAAACTCGGTGGGACCGATTCGCTGATATCGGTTGGACCAAAACGTTACGAAAGGGAAATATATAGTTTACAATGTAATCTCGGTAGAACCGATTACACAAACTCGGTTGGACCGATTTTGGTAATGGACACATACAGAGAGATTACAATCCCATCTCGGTGAGACCAATTTGACTAGGGTTTGTGGCAGTGGATATGACATCTGAACTCGGTGGCGCCGGATAGAAAGAATCGGTGTGGCCGAGTTTGACTTTTGGTTTAGGTCATAGGTGGATGTGAGAAAGTAGTTGAGGGCTTTGGAGCATATAACTAAGCATCTTGAGAAAGAATCTCATTAAGCAACACCTCATCCCTCCTTGATAATATTGGCTTTTCCTATTGACTCAATGTGATCTTGGATCACTAAAATAGAAAGTGTAGAGTCTTGTGCTTTGAGCTTGAGCCAATCCTTTTGTCCTTAGTATTTTGAGGGATCCACTTCCTCTAGTCGATGCCACTCCATTGTTGAACTTATCTGAAACATACTAGGTAAAGGTATTAGTCCAACAAGAGATATGTTGACATTAATTACCAAAATCACCCAGGGAGCACTTGTGCTTTCAATCTCCCCCTTTTTGGTAATTGATGACAACATACATCAAAGCTTTAGATAAAGAGATAGAGAATAACATGTAAAGCTTTGGAAAGATATGTAACGAGCATATGCTCCCCCTACATGAATGAAATCATGTAAATATGAAGTATAGGAGCATGTGAATGCATAAGCATGACAGAAAAAGCAATGCGTTACATGTATCCTAGCTATATGCATCAGAGCAAAAGATGTGAATATGGGAAATGTATCTTCATGCTCATGAGTCCTTCTTGCAAACAATATGTACATCAACAAGAGATCCTCATACACATGACTGTGATGCATATACTTACCTTGTGGTCTTGAGTTGGCTTAGGATGGAATGACCCTGCGTAACCAAGGTTAGATAACACAGACGCACCTACTAGCCAGGGCAAACAAAAGAAACCACAAGAGTACCAAGACTGGGATGACATGTAGAGAGTGAGTACTGAGTACTCCATTTGATATAGACATGTCCCGAAAGGTAAAGATGTGCAATGAATTCAAGGAATTCCCTCCCTTTGATTTCTTGCTCCCCCTGAATCTAGCATGGGATACTGGGAGAAGATAGGGAACAGAAAATCAGAGCTAACAGAAAATCAGAGCTCAAATAAAAGAAACAGAGCTAATGCAGACAAACTAATATGAACATGTCTTTTCCCTCTTAAAGACATGTGACTTCTCTCCTCTCGAGTCACCAAGCATCTGGGGTCCTTGAAGATTAATCTCACTCCTTGAGTTTTCTCTCCCCCTAGAGATATGATTAAGCTTTGATGTGATCTCTCTCTCCCCCTTTGACATCAATTTCCAAGAAGGGTTCTTCTGGAATTTTGTTATAGGAGGGTTTGGTCCTTGAGGCACAACACAAAGCAGTAAGTTAAATGTGATGCTGATAGAGGACAAGATTCATTGAGTGGAGCTGGAATAGAAGAATTCAGGAATAAATGGCAAGATGTTTTTCCTATTGTGAAGTCGGTGGCACCGACTTGTATGCTTAGGTTGCACCGAAAGGATCCGGTTGGATCGAAAATAACAGGCCGGTGTGATCGAGTTCATTATAGAGAAAAACACTTGTCACCTCAGCTCACTAGACATGTAAGATCTCACAAGGATTTGCAAGGAATTGGATGCAGGGAATGCAGAATAAAGAAAACAGAAGGGAATCTAGATGAAGTTTTTTTGAAAGGGGAAACAAATATGCATGAATCAAATGCAAGAGTACATAAAAGAACACGAGAGATCTTCATCTAGAAATGGTCGGTGACAAAGTCACCTACGTTAGAGTATATTGACATAGGAGTCAAGTGAGATCACTTGATCATAGGTCATACTCATCGTTTAAGCTCAAAATGGGGTTACCATTTTTCGTTTAAGCATTTTGATGTATTCACATCTTGTTGAGTTGCTTCGACTCATGTCTTGGAGTAAAGCTTCTCTAAGATGGAATCACATACCTTGGGTGGTGGATCATGATCATGTAGTTGAACTTATGTGGGTTGCTCAAGGTTGATGTAGCTCATCAAGAGTTGGGAGCACCACTTTGAAATTTGAGTTCATCTACCTACATGGGTTACCTTGCAAGGAAGAGCACTTGTGTATCCAAAATGACAATCATAAAGTTCAAACTAGAATTTGTCAAAGGATATGTTTGAATGATTCTGTGCTTCCTTGTCTTCAACCACCATTGTGTAGAGACTTGGTGTCGTGGAATTATCACGTCAGATGTCCTAGTGAATGGACTTAGTTGTGGACCCATCGCGATCGGGTTAGCTTAGAGGGGTTAAACCGGACAAAGGACACAGGGAGTTTATACTAGTTCGGCCCCTTGCGGTGAAGGTAAAAGCCTACGATCCAGTTGTGGTGTTCTTGATGTGGTCTCGATTACCAGGAAGCAAATATTCTTTGCCTAGTTCTCGAGTTGTTGTTTCTTGTCCGTGAACCGCTGTCGGGTCATCCCTTTATATACATAGGTTGACGCCCGGCCGGTCTACAGAATCCCGAGGCCGGCTCATACAAGTGTCCGGCTCAGTTTCTCCTTTCCCTGACTTACAATACAAGTATACATCTATGGCGGTTTACTACTATGGGCCCTAATCCGCCATTGGGCTTCTAGGCCTCTAAGTCTAAAACGCCATAGCCTTAGCCTTCATCGTCATGGGCTCTTGCACAGGATTCTTTGTGAGTTAACCCGGCCCCTCCTGGGCGGTTTAACTCAGTAGTCATATCCCCAACATTAGGCCCCAGATTGATTTGAACTTGTTCATGTCAATCTTCAACTTAGAAAATTTCTGATTTGAACATATTTATATTGTCCTTGTAAACCGCCGTGACGTCATCTTCTGGAATCACCTTAAATCGCCATGACGTCATCTGCATAGAAAACTCGTAAAGATTTCTTATTAATTAATCTCTGAAGATCGAGGCGACAGCTGTATCAGATATCCGATTTTTGACTCCTCGATTTTCGCGCCTGTCACTTATCCCTTTGCCTTTATAAATAAGACCGGGGGTCCTTTCCATTTCCCCCTTGCCTCTTCGCATCTTCTTCCTCCTCATGACCCCGAAGGGCTCGAGCATCCCTGCCGCCATCGATCTTTGCGTCTGCACCAACCAGGCCGCTACATCAACCTGTTTTTGACCAGAAACCCTGCGATGCTCCTCTGCCGCCGCGCAGCCCTGGTAAGCACTCCTCTTCCCGACTATTAGATCTGCATTAGGGTTCCATAGTTCTTCGGTGTTCATCAGTGTTCATCGGTGTTTATCTTCTTACCCTTACTATCTCCTTGAATCTAGATAAACCTGACAGCTTCTTTCCGCGGCGGAATCCGTAGCTTTAGTCTGCCTTGTCATAGCATCTCCTCGCTTTCTAGAAGATCCCATCTGGGCCTTTGTTGTTCTGCTGTCGCCATTTTAGGGCTCAGAATTTTTTCTTTACTGAACTGCAGTAGAT